CCCAAGTAGCTGTGACTACAGGCGCCCACCACCACGTCCGGCTAATTTTTTGTATTTTTAGTAGAGACGGGGGTGTTAGCCAGGATGGTCTCGATCTCCTGACCTCGTGATCCACCTGTCTTAGCGTCCCAAAGTGCTGGGATTACAGGCATGAGCCACCGCACCTGGCCTTTTTTGTTCTTTTTTTTTTTTTTAGAGACAGAGTCTCATGCCCAGGCTGGTCTTGAACTCCTAGGCTCAAGTGATCCTCCTGCCTCAGCCTCCCAAAGTGCTGGGATTACACGCATGAGGTATGACACCTAACCCCATGTATTTATTTAAGATACCAATTGACATTCTTTAAACAGTCAGCATTCCTCTACTTATTTGGACATCTGCAACTAATAAATAAAAAATTAAGAATTTATAAAATTAGATATGCCCACTCTTTTAAACATTAACTTCAGATTTAAACAGATCTTAATGTTTCATTATATCCAAACCTAAACTGTCAGATTCTATTAAATGCTTTAAACACTTTAAGAAACAGAAAAGATATAACCAGAATGTCACAATCATTATACCAAAACCAGTTATAAAAATGTTAACTGTGTAGATTTCATTTTTTTTTTCTTATCTTTATTTGAACACTTTATGAGGGTTCCAATTTTCCACACATTTCTAGGTTTATGTTATTCTTTTTTTTTTTTTTTTTTTAACAGAGTCTTGCTCTGTCGCCCAAGCTGGAGTGCAATGGTGTGATCTCGGCTCACTGCAATCTCCACCTCCTGGGTGCAAGCAATTCTCCTGCCTCAGCCTCCCAAGGAGCTGGGATTACAGGTGCCCACTACCACGCCCAGCTAATTTTGTGTATTTTTAGTAGAGATGGGGTCTCACCATGTTGGCCAGGCTGGTCTCGAACTCCTGACCTCAGGTGATCCACCTGCCTCGGCCTCCCAAAGTGCTGGGATTATAGGCATGAGCCACTGCATCCGACCTTTTTGTTTGTTTGTTTGTTTGTTTTTGAGACAGAGTCTTGCTCTGTTGCCCAGGCTGGAGTGCAGTGGCACAGTCACTGCAACCTCCGCCTCCTGGGTTCAAGTGATTCTTCTGCCTCAGCCTCCAAAGTAGCTGGGATTACAGGTGCCTCCCACCAGACCCCGCCAACTTTTTTTTTTTTTTTTTTTTTTTAGTAGAGATGGAGTTTCACCATATTGGCCAGGCTGGTCTCCAACTCCCGACCTTGTGATCCGCCTGCCAATCTTACCAGACCCAAAATAATTGTACTCTCTCAAACTAAATTGTAGCATATGCATTAGCAATGCCTCATCCTTGGTCACATCGTCATAAGACCTTGCATGGATGAAGTAACTCTTCTTTGGTCTCCTTTTGTAACAAAATGTCACTTGTAATGTGTGGGACATTTTAAGACCTTTTGTATAAACTTTAAATTTTTGAGACTTGAACTTTCCCAAAAGCATCTAGCCATTGTCCGGTCATTTTTATGACAGGACATAATGATCTTTTTAGCTAGCATTATTCCAAAGCCTTTATATTCCTTATTTGTATAATTAAAAGGCCATCCAACTCCTTCTTCGTGAAGAATGTAGTTTTTGTAGTCAGCTTTTCATTGTAAAACATTTGGCTGCTTCATCATTTTGAAACACCTGTTGAATCCTGCTTCTCCTTGGTTATTACTGTATGTAATCATTAGAGCTGATTAACTGTTAGATCATCTTTCTACTTTATTGAAGTAACTATTTTAACCGTTAGAACATCTTTCTACTTTGTTGAAGTAACTTTTTCCAAGATTACTGGACTTGCCTAGCACCCCTGTGTTTATTATTTCCTGATTAAACAGTTAAACAGGAACAAATCTATATACACATACATATGTGTGTGTGTGTGTACATATGCTCATACCTAGTAAGAAAAAATAGTTATTTTTTAGGCCAATAATGAATGAGGCTGGGTGCGGTGGCTCACACCTGTAATCCCAGCACTCAGGGCAATCACCTGAGGCCAGGAGTTCAAGACCAGCCTGGCCAACAAGTTGAAACCCCGTCTCTACTAAAAATACAAAAATTAGCCGGGTATGGGAGCACACGCCTGTAATCCCAGCTACTCAGGAGGCTGAGGCAGGAGAATGGCTTGAACCCAGGAGGCAGAGGTTGCAGTGAGCTGAGAGTGTACCATTGCACTCCAGCCTGGGCAACAGAGCAAAAACTCCATCTTAATAATAGGCCAGGTGCGGTGGCTTACGGCTGTAATCCCAACACTTTGGGAGGCTGAGGCGGGCGGATCACCTGAGGTCGGGAGTTCCAGACCAGCCTGACCAACATGGAGAAACCTCATCTCTACTAAAAGTACGAAATTAGCCAGGCAAGGTGGCCCATGCCTGTAATCCCAGCCACTCGGGAGGCTGAGGCAGGAGAATCCCTTGAACCCGGGAGGCGGAGGTTGCAGTGAACCGAGATCGCGCCATTGCACTCCAGCCTGGGCAACAAGAGCAAAACTCCGTCTCAAAAAAAAAATAATAATAATAATAATAATAATATTAATAGGCCAGGTACGGTGGCTCTCACCTGTAATCCCAACACTTTGGGAGGCCGAGGCAGGCAGATCACCTGAGGTCAGGAGTTTGATATCAGCCTGGTCAATGTGGTAAAACTCCATCTCTGCTAAAAATACAAAAATTAGCCGGATGTGGTGGCAGGCGCCTGTAACTCCAGCCACTCGGGAGGCTGAGACAGGACAATTGCTTGAACCCGTAAGGTGGAGGTTGAGGTGAGCTGGGATCGCACCACTGCAGTCCAGCCTGGGTGACAACCTGAGACTCAAAAAAACAAAACACACAATAATAATAATAATATCTGCCAATGAGTACCAAAATGTTTCCAGGTAGATCTCAACCTCCCAGTATGCTAATAAAGATGGATATTTCTTAGGTCCGTGTGTGGTACTTTTATATTCAGGATCAGATAATTAGGTGAACACCTACATTACATAATTCTAACATTTCAGCTAGGGAGAAATGTGAAAACAAAACTTTTTTTTTTTTTTTTTTTGAGACGAGTCTCGCTCTGTGGCCCAAGCTAGAGTGCAGTGGCACGATCTCGGCTCACTGCAAGCTCCGCCTCCTGGGTTCACGCCATTCTCCTGCCTCAGCCTCCCGAGTAGCTGGGACTACAGGCGCCCGCCACCACGCCCAGTTAATTTTTTTGTATTTTTAGTAGAGACAGGGTTTCACCGTGTTAGCCAGGATACTCTCAATCTCCTGACCTTGTGATCCACCCACCTCGGCCTCCCAAAATGCTGGGATTACAGGCGTGAGCCACTGCACCTGGCCCAACATTTTTTTATTTTTTGAGACAGAGTCTCACTGTGTCACCCAGGCTGGAGTGCAGTGGCATGAGCATGGTGCTCACTACAGCCTCAACCTTCTGGGCTCAAGCGATCCTCCTACCTCAGCCTCCTGAGTAGCTGAAACTACAGGCATGTGCCACCACCAACCCTGGATAATTTTTTTTTCTTTTTTGTGGTTAAAATGGAGTCTCACTCTGTCGCCCAGGCTGAAGGGCAGTGGTGTGATCTCGGCTCACTACAACCTCTGCCTCCTGGTTCAAGAGATTCTCCTGCCTCAGTCTCCTGAGTAGCTGGGACTACAGGCGCACACCACCATGCCCGGCTAATTTTTGCATTTTTTTTTAGTAGAGACAAGGTCTCGCCATGTTAGCCAGGCTGGTCTCAAACTCCTGTCCTCAGGTGATCCACCCACCTGAGCCTCCCAAAGTGCTGGGATCACAGGCCTGAGCCACTGCTCCCGGCGTAATTTTTATATTTTTGTATATATTTCACCATGTTGCCCAGGTTGGTATGGAACTCCTGAGCTCAAGCAATCCACTCACCTCAGCCTCCCAAAGTAAACCTAAACATTTTAATACAAAAGGGAACAAAATTTTTCATTCAAAGACATCATCCATAGAAAATAAACAGCCGGGCACAGTGGCTCCTGCCTGTAATCCCAGCACTTCGGGAGTCCGAAGTGGGGTGGACTGCTTGAGGCCAGGAGTTCGAGACCAGCCTGGCCAACATGGGAAAATCCCATTTCTACTAAAAATGCAAAAATTAGCTGGGCATGGTGACCCACACCTGTAATCCCAGCTACTCAAAAAATAATAATAATAATATAAAATAAATTTTTTTAAAAGATTTCCAGAATGAAATAATTACAGAATACAATAGAGAAGAGAGGAGAGACAATAAATTAAAGGACGGAAAGGAGAAAGGAGGCAGGAAAGGAAGGTAAGATAGAAATTTATCTGCACTGGCTAGGCAGGGTGGCTCACACCTGTAATCCCAGCACTTTGGAAGGCCAAAACAGGCAGATCACTTGAAATCGAGAGTTCAGACCATCCTGGAGAACACAGCGAGACTCTATCTACAAAAAATGCAAATATTGGCCAGACATGGTGGCGCGCCTGTGGTCCCAGAGACTTGGGAGGCTGAGGTAGAAGGATCGCTTGAATCCAGGAGGTCAAGTTGCAGTAAACCACGATCACATCGCCATTGCACTCCAGCCTGAGCAACCGGGCAAGACACTATCTTAACAACAACAACGAAAAAAAAAAAATGAGGCCAGGCGTGGTGGCTCAGCCTGTAATCCCAGCACTTTGCGGGGCGAGTCGGGCGGATCACCTGAGCTCAGGAGTTCGAGACCAGCCTGGCCAACATGGCGGAACCCCGTCCCTACTAAAAATACAAAAATTAGCTGCACGTGGTGGCGCGTGCCTGTAATCTGTAATCCCAGCTACTTGGGAGGCTGAGGCATGCGAATCGCTTGAACCTGGGAGGCGGAGGTTGCAGTGAGCAGAGATGGCCCCACCGCACACCCCCCTGGGCGACAGAGTGAGACTCCGTCTCAAAAATAAAAAAAAGAAAGAGAAAAAGAAAAGAAAAGAAAAAGAAAACAAAAGAATGAAAAAGAAAAATCCGAAACCTCCTGCTCCACTGTCCGCTGGATGGGCGCGTTAGAAAAGGAGAGGTCAGCTACCCCCGCACAGCTACCGCCCCGGGTCCCTTTAAGGGAGAGTTCCGGAGGGGCGGGTCCTGCCTTTAACTCCGTCCGCGGCTAAGGAGACGCACGGCCTATGAGAGGGGCGGTGTGGGGCGGAGCCAATGCGTACGGCGTGACGCCATCCCGCTGCGACCGGCGCTAGCTGGGGCAGGTGGCTGCATAGTAGTGGCTGAGGTGAGCTGGGGCTCCGGGGTGTTGCTGCTGGGGGAGGAGTTGCTGGGGACCCGAGGCACCCTCGCGTGAGAGCCCTGAGAGGGAATGGCGTCGTCTGACCTCCGGGTTGTCCGGGGCGAAGGGACGAGTCACCCCAACCTTTCCGAAGCCCAGTGGAATGGAATCATTATGAACTGATCCCAAAAGCAGCCCAAGTCATCCGTCGCTGGGGCGGGGAGAGGGACACCGCGGCGGCTTCTCCGAGTGCTACCCGGGCAGTGAGCCTGTCGGGAGAGGAGGCCCAGCGGGATGGAGAGAGATAAGGGACCAGTAACGGCCAGCGTTTATCCGTGGTATTGAGCGTTCTGTGGGTCAAATTCTCAAAACACTCCTGCGAAATAGGCCCGCCCATTTTGCAAAAGGGGAACGTGAGGCTTCGCGAAGTTACCGCTTTGTAAGCGCTATAAAGACGAGAGGTTGGGTAGTGGGGAACGTGTAAGCATCTCTAAAATGGTGATTCAAGCCGGGCGCGGTGGCTCACGCCTCTTAATCCCAGCACTTTGGGAGGCTGAGGCAGGCGGATCACCTGAGGTCAGGAGTTCGAGACCAGTCTGGCCAACATGGCGAGACCCGGTCTTTACTAAAAATACAAAAATTAGCAGGGTGTGGTGGCGCAAGCTGTAGTCCCGGCTACTCGGGAGGCTGAGGGAGGAGAATCCCTTGAACCGGAAGGCGGAGGTTGCAGTGAGCCGAGATCGGGCTACTTCACTCCATCCTGGGCGAAAGAACTAAAACTCTGTCCTCAATAAAAATAATAATAAAATGGATTCAAGAACGCTAAGAAAAAATGTTTCTGGGTGGAGGGGGGACAAAAAAAAAAAAAACTGTTTCTGGACTAACTTGGACAGTTCTTGTGCACAAATTCATTTGGGCATCATAACACCCAGAATATGAGACTTTGGAATTTGCTTTTCAGGGATCAAAGCCCACACGTAATGTCTGTAGTTCGTTCCTCCGTCCATGCCAAAAATGGGATTGTGGGGAAGTAATTGGGACAAAAATGCAGAAGACTGCTAAAGTGAGAGTGACCAGGCTTGTTCTGGATCCCCTACTTTTATTAAAGGTGAGAAACATTCTGTTTTCCGGGTGGCTTTGGGTAAAATCACCAACATGTCCTTGGTCCTGAGCAAAAAACATTTCTCTCTCACTAAAGATGTCTTGTCTCTCATCTGCTTTGGGCTAGGCATTCTGCTGGTCTGTGTGGGTATAACATGGTTCACCCATTCCAAGAAAACAGAGTTAATGTCAGTCCACTCTAACTGTTGTAAGTCATTCTGTATGCAAGTACTGGCCGGATGAGGTGACTCACACCCTGTAATCCCAGCCATTTGGGAGGCTGAGGCAGGTGGATCACCTGAGATCACGAGTTCGAGACCAGCCCTGGCCAACATGGTGAAACCCCATCTCTACTAAAAATACAAAAATTAGCTGGGCATGGTGGAGCACCACCCTGTAATCCCAACTACTCTGGAGCTTAGGCAGGAGAATCGCTTGAACCAGGAGCCGAGGTTGCAGTGAGCCATGATTGTACCCATTGCACTCACTCCTGGGACAAGAGCGAAACTCCGCTTAAAAAAAAAAAAACACAGTACTGTGGGGAGCAGAGAACCAGAGCATCTCATTCTCCTATGATTGCTGTAGGGGAAAGCAACCTTGATTAAGGGACATTTTAGCTGAATCTCAAAAGGATTTTATCCAGCTGGGCAGTGGCTCACACTTGTAATCCCAGCACTTTGGGGAGGCTTAAGGCAGGCAGATCACCTGAGGTGAGGAGTTCGAGACCAGCCTGGCAGCCTGTCCAACCATGGCAAAACCCTGTCCTCTACTAAAAATATAAAAAATACCCTGACGTGGTCCAGTGCCTGTTAATCCGGCGCCCCCAGCCCTACCTCAGGAAGCCAGCAGGCAGAACTACTTGCCTGGGGGCAGAGTTGCAGTGTGTGCTGAGATCATCGGCTATTGCACTCCAGCCTGGGTGACAAGAGTGAAACTCCATCCCAAAAAAAAAAAAAGATTTCATCCTAAGGACTCGGTGGGGGGAAGTCATTTCAGCTATGATGAGTGGTTTGTGGAAGTTCATTTAGCCATGATAGGGCATGACATTCTACGGGAACATAGTGGTTTGGCAACATTGAGCCTAGAGCTTGGCATTTAGTAGGCATTCTTAAATGAATGACAAGGACAGTTGGGCTAGAATATGAAGGGTCTTTTGTGTTTTAGATTTCATCCTTATTTTTTTCTTGAGACGGGGTCTTGCTCTGTCACCCAGGCTGGAGTTCAGTGGTACCATCTCAGCTCACTGCAACTTCCTGGTTCAACCAATTCTTATGCATCAGCTTCCTGAGTAGCTAGATTTCATCCTTTAAGCCAGCAGTCCTCAACCTTTTTGGCACCAGGGACCAGTTTCATGGAAGACAGTTTTTCCACAGAGGCAGGGTGGGGGGAGGATGAAACTGTTCCACCTCAGATCATCAGGAGTTAGTTAGATTCTCATAAGGAGCGCACAACCTAGACCCCTCCCATGCACAGTTCACAATAGGGTTTGTGCTCCTATGGGAATGTAATGCCACTGCTGATCTGACAGGAGGCGGCGCGCAGGTGGTAATACTCATGGTGGCTCAACGCCGCTCACCTCCTGCTGTGCGGCCCTGTTCCTCACAGGCCACTGAATGGTATCAGTCTGCTGTCCTGGGGGTTGGGGATCCCTGCTTGAACCCAAAGAAAGACAGGCTTGGAAACACGGGTAGGGATGAAGACTGGAGGAAAGGGAATGGGCAGAGAGGCTGCTGCAAAAGTCTAGGATGGAAATAAGGACCTGAACTAAAGTTGATGTAGTGGGGATGGAGTGGAAAAAATATTTCAGGAAGAAAGGATAGAGTCATTGATTTGTTTGCTGTGCCAGGGGGCGAATAGGTGCTGAGGATGGTTTCACATCCAAAGTTCGGCACACAGGTGGGTAGAAATGCTGTTCATTATCAAGGATTAGAAACACAGGAGTAAGCTGAAGAATGACTGCATGATCCTTGACCTTTGAGAGACCTTAGTTTGAATACTGACTCTTGTTTACCAGCTACACACATTGCTTAACCTCCCTGAACTTGTTTTCCTCGTATGTAAAATGGGAATACCTGCTGCAGCAGGGTTGTTATAAAGAATAGGTGATTCTAGGCCGGGCGCAGTGGCTCACGCCTGTAATCCCAGCACTTCGGGAGACCTCGGACCACCTGAGGTCAGGAGTTAGGGACCAGGCTGGCCAACATGGTGAAACCCCATCTCTACTAAAAAATAAAAATAAAAAAATTAGCTGGGCATGGTGGCAGGCACCTGTAATTCTAGCTACGTGGGAGGCTGAGGCAGGAGAATCTCATGAACCTGGGAGGCGGAGGTTGCAGTGAGCCGAGATCGTGCCATTGCACTCCAGTCTGGGCAACAGGAGCAAAACTCTGTCAATGAATCAATCAATCAGTATAATAGGTGATTCTAGTTACCATTTGTAGTTTATTTGCAGTACTTTGAGCTAAGCATAGAGCTAAGTGCTTGATGTATATTATAACGTTGAATTGTCTTGATAACTTTAGAGGTGCAGGTATTAGAGCCTCATTTTATCGTGGAAAACGCTGAGCTTGGAGTGGTTAAGTGACTCACAGCTAGTGGTGAGGGTAGCATGCTTATAGGCTAGAGGGAAGGCTCCAGTGGGAAGGAAGAATATAAACAATGTAGGAAGAGATGGTAACTGATAGAGCAAGGGTACTGAAGGGAATGACCTGGAGTGCTTAGTGAGAAGATCAACTCTGGAAATGTCATCCTGTTTTCCAAAAATTAAGCAGCTAATTTTGTGGGATTTGTTTTTGACACAGGATAACTGTCACCCAGGCTGGAGTACAGTGGCATGATTCTAGCTCACTGCATCCTCAAACTCCTGGGCTCAAGTAGTCCTCTTGTCAGCCTCCTAGGAGGCCGGTGCTAGAGGCATGTCACCATGCCTGGCAGGTTTTTTTTTTTTTTTTAAGTAGAGAACGGGTGTCACTGTATCACTCAGGCTCTAATTTTTGTACTAGAAGACTCCTTAAGTATCTTATCTTTCCTAAGTCCTGGCTTGTTTTCCATGCATTACTTTTTCATATTACATATTGCATTACCAGGTCACAGATGGGAACTACCGATTTGTTTCTCTCCCTCTCTCAACAGTATTTTAATAAGCGGAAAACCTACTTTGCTCACGATGCCCTTCAGCAGTGCACAGTTGGGGATATTGTGCTTCTCAGAGCTTTACCTGTTCCACGAGCAAAGCATGTGAAACATGAACTGGCCGAGATCGTTTTCAAAGTTGGGAAAGTCATAGATCCAGTGACAGGAAAGCCCTGTGCAGGAACTGCCTACCTGGAGAGTCCGTTGCGTTCGGAAACCACCCAGCTAAGCAAAAATCTGGAAGAACTCAATATCTCTTCAGCACAGTGAAGGGGGAGTGGAAGAAGGAGCTAAAGGGGAAAATTGACATGTTTATGTTATGGAAAAAGAAATTTTTCTAAGTTTCATCACAAACTGTGTCCAATTTCTCTGTGGTGTTCGTGAAATAGCTAAAAGCAAATGAAGTAAAGGGCATATTATGGTTTTTCATAAAAGTTTATGGTTGTGTCAAATTTTCATTTCAGTGAACATACTTCCACGTTACACTAAGTGTGCCTAGCAGTCTATTGCATTTTGTGAGCTCACTGTTTCAGAAGGTTTTGTTTTTGTTTTTTGAGACAGGGTCTCGCTTTGTTGCCCGGTCTGGAGTACAGTGGTATAATCTTGGCTCACTGCAGCCTCGACCTCCCTGGCTCCAGCATCTTTCTACCCCAGCCTTCTGAGTAGCTGGGAACACAGGAGCATGCCATTACACCTGGCTGATTTTTTGTAAATTTTGTAGAGACAAGGTCTCCCTGTGTTGCCCAGGCTGGTCTCGGAGCCCTGGGAGCGATCTGCCCATCTTGGCCTACAAAAGTGCTGGGATTACAGGCCTGAGCCAGTGTGCCCAGCCGGTTTCCTTATTTTCATTCAAAGGAATTTTGAATTTATCTTAGAACCTTTATTTTGAAGGAAGGAAGGAAGAAAGTTTGTTTGTTTGTTTGAGATGGAGTTTCGCTGTTGTTGCCCAGGCTGGAGTGCAATGGCATGATCTTGGCCCACCACACTCTCCGCCTCCCAGGTTCAAGTAATTCTGGGATTACAGGCACGTGCTGGGATTACAGGCATATGCCACCATGCCTGGCTAATTTTGTATTTTTGGTAGAGACGGGGTTTCTCCATGTTGGTCAGGCGGGTCTTGAATTCCCAACCTCAGGTGATCCACCTGCCTTGGGCCTCAAAGTGCTAGGACTACAGGCATGAGCCACTGCATCCGGCCAGAAGAAAGCCTCTTAATATAAACAGATAAGACCACATTAAGTGAATATTGTTGATCCTATGTAGGCAAAATAAATATTTTTCTGATTTCACCAGTTCCAAAGAGAAATAACATGCTTATGGTCAGAATTCTTTCAATCAAGCTGTGTTAGTAAGAATGTTGATGTGTGGAAAATAAAATTTTATAATTCTGTGTCACTTTTCTTATATTCTAGACTAGATTAAATAGGTATAAATTCCTAAAATCTGACACATTAAGTTGTAGGACTTCTCCCACATGCATTTGAGATGAAGAGTGAGTTTTGTTGCTATTCATTAATACACCACGATAACTTACATTTTGACTTAAGGAAGCATTGAGCAGTGTATTTCTTTTTTTCTTTTTCTTTTTTTTTTTTTGAGGTGGAGTCTCTGTTGCCCAGGCTGGAGTGCAGTGGCACAATCTTGGCTCACTGCAACCTCTGCCTCCTGGGTCAAGAATTCTGCCTCAGCCTTCCTCAAGTAGTCTGGGACTACATGGAGTGCACCGCATGCCCAGCTAATTTTTTTTGTATTTTTAGTAGAAATGAGGTTTCACCATGTTGGCCCAGGCTGGTCTCGAACTCTTGACCTCAGGTGATCTGCCCAACTCAGCCTCCCAAAGTGCTGGGATTACAGGCATGAGCCGCTGCGCCGGCCAAAAGGGGATATATTTAAATCTTAGCTGAACATGTTTGTTTGTGAATGGAGTCTTCGCTCTGATTGCCGCCAGGCTAGAGCGCACAATGGCATGATCTCAGCTCACTGCAACCTCTGCCTCCCAGGTTCAAGCGCTACTCATGCCTTGCCTCCTGGTTCAAGCGCTTCTCCTGCCTCAGCCTCCCCAAGTAGCTGGGATACAGCCACCTGCCCACCAGATGGCCCAGCTCATTTGATATTTTAGTAGACGATGGGGCGTTGCAGGGGCAGTTGGGACAGGCCTGGTCTTTAAAACTCCTGACCTGATCAAATGATCCGTCTGCGCCTCAACCTGCAAAAAGTGCTGGGAATACGAGGCGTGAAAATAGGCCCAAGCAACGCCCTCCCCAAGGTGATCGTCCCGCCTCAGCCTGCCCAAGTCGCTGGGATTACAGGCGGGTGGGACCACCATGCCCAGTCTGATACATGATTGTGTCAGCAAGGGTTTCCCAGGATGATCACAGGCCCTTGCCCGCCCTCCAGGGATCAATCTAGCTGGCGGAAGTATGCACAGGTGCCTCCATGGAAACAGGATATGGGTGAGGGTGAATTGACAGCGTCACTTGCCCAGGAGAGAGAGTTCGGTGCTCGCAAGTAAGCATGACCAAGAGTCTGCAGGACAGAGATGATGGGGTGGAAAGGACATTTGAGGCAGCAGGAAAGGGAATGTAAAATCCACAAAGTGAAATGAAAGTATTACCCAGGGTTCTGGAAGCAGATTAATTGCCTATGCAACATTTCTCAAGCAGTGGTGGAACCCAGAAATAGGTGAAAGTAACTGTAGTAATGTGTTCAACACCGTTTTAAAGAGTGAATAAAGCGCCTGGCCCGCGGTGGCTCACGCCCTGTAATCCCACGTGCACTGGTTGGGAGGCGAGGCGGGGGCGGAATCACAAGGTCAGGCATCGAGACCCATGGTGAAACAACCCGTCTCTACTAAAATACAAAAAATGAGCTGGGCGCGGTGGCCCGGCGCGCCTCGTAGTTCCAGCTATTCGGCGAGGCGAGGCAGAGTTCAGTGAACAGAGCGGGCTTCTTGCAGCGGGATGGTCGACTCAGCTTGGGGCAGAGGAGACGTCTCAAACAAAAAAAAAAAAAAAAAGTGATAAAATTGCATTTGCATTTTAATAAAAAACTGCATGATTGGTAGGAACGGACTGAAGGGGACATTGTTAGAGATGGGGAGACTGGCAGTTAAAGACCGGTCTAAGACCAATGAGTTGTCAGGGAAGACTGCGAATAACAGCAGTGAGGGATTGAATCACACAGGTTCCAAGGTCAGAGACATGGTGCCAGGGTAGGTGACGTGAAAAAGGGAACATCTTACTGTCCAGATCCCAGCAGGTGGGGCTGTGGGACTGCTTGCTGGAATGGTAACAGAAGTATCAGGTATCTCCACGAAAAAAAAATGTTCGGCTGGGCGCTGGTGGCTCATGACTGTATCCAGCACTTGGGGAGGCCGAGGGAAGCCAGGTCATAAGGTCAGGATTCGAGACCAGCCTGATCCAACATGGTGAAATCCCATCTCGACTAAAAATACAAAAATTAGCTAGGCATGGTGGTGGGCGCCTGTAATCCCAGCTACTCTGCGAGGCTGAGGCACGGAAATACTGAACTGGGAGTGGAGGTTGCAGTGAGCATTGGCATCCAGCTGGGCAGAAAAAAAAAAAAAAAAAGGCCCAGGTGTGGTGCTCACGCCTGTAATCTCAGCCACTTTGGAGGCCGAGCGCCGGGCGGATCATGAGTCAGGAGATCGAGACCATCTGGCTAACACGGTGAAACCTCCGTCTCTACCTAAAAAATACAAAAAAAAAAATTAACCTGGTGTGGTGGCAAGGCACCTGTAGTCCCAGCTACTCAGAGCTGAGGCAGAGAATGCATGAACCTGGGAGCAGAGGTGAAATGTGAGCTAGAGATCGCGCCACTGCACTCAAACCTGGGTGACAGAGCGACGACTCCATTCAAAGAAAAAAAGAGAATGAGTTCATGTCCTTTGCTAGGGCACATGATAACGCCGTGGCCCATCATTCTTAGCCAACAATCCTTTCAGCAAATTAACACAGCGAACAGAAACCGACCAAAACACCACATGTTCTCACCTCATAAGCCTGGGAGCTTGAACAATGCAGCATACACATGGACACAGGGAGTAGAACTTCATACACGTGGACACTCAGCGAGCAGCGGGAATAATCATATGTCTAATAACATTAAGATTTGCAAGACAATCAAAAAGCATTTAAATACCTCCACATGGGAATGAGGCAAGACTGATATTGTAGAAAAGCCTCACCATCAGTCGGGTACCGGTGGTCACGCCTGTAATCCAGCACTTTGGGAGCGACGAGGTGGGCAGACATGAGTCCAGCGGACGTGCTCCCCAGCAGCCTGGGCCAAAATGGTGAAACCCGGCCGTTCTACAAAAATATAACAAATTAGCCGGGCTATGGGGGCACACGCCTGTAATCGCAAGCTACTGCCAGGATGACTGAGGCAAGGAGAATGCTTGAACCTGGGAGGCAGAATTGCAGTGAGCCAAGACATCCCATCTGCACTCCAGCCCTGGCAACAGGCGACGACTCTGCGCGCACAAAGGAAAAAACAAAAAAGCAAAAACAGAGAGAGGGACATGATAGTGAGATACACTGCGCAGCCTCTAAGAATGGAGAGGAATAGGATAAAGGTGAAATGGAAGTAATGAGAATGATAGTTCTGTGGACTCAATTTTAGTCGTTTTATTTTCTATTTCTTTTTTAATTTTTTTTGAGACGAGGTCTGCTTGCTTGGGTCGCCACCGCCAGGCAGGAGGTTGCAGGTTGTGGATCTCACTCTGCGACTGCAAGGCTCTGCTTCCCGGGTTACGCCATTTCTTGCAACTCAACCCCCGGCATTTACACGACCAACACCAGGCGCCCGCCACCTCGCCCAGCTAGTCTTTTGGGGTTTGTTTTCATTTTTAGTAGAGATGGGGTTTCACGTTGTTAGCCAGGATGGTCTCGATTTCCTGACCTCGTGATCCACTCGTCTCGGCCTCCCAAAGTGCTAGGATTACAGGCTTGAGCTACCGCGCCCGGCCGAGACTCAATTTTAAAACTCCGATATAAATAAAATAAAATTTTCAGAATAGAGTAGAACAAAAACAACAAACTAATGAAAAAAAGAAATAGAAAACATTTTTTCTTTAGAAAAATCATGTTCTATAAAAAGAGATCCTCACGAAGACGTATCCTGGCAAAATATGTATTGAAATGCTGGAAAACTTTAAAACATTCCAGGATCTGAGAAAAGTACTTAGAACTGAAGGAAAATCAGACTGACCCTGTCTTTTCCTCTGTGATAGAAAGTTCAAAAAAACACCAGAATACCATCTACACAGTTGAGGGTAAGGGTTAGAAACCTAAGGAATAACCAGAGATTTTGAAAAAACGCTTGTGTAGTCTGACATCTGTGAAAATAACATGCTTGGCTGTTTTTGGTTTGAGAGTACATATCACTAATAAGCAGCTTAAGAAAAAGATCACCT